GCAGGGGGTAAAGACGAACCCTGAACCAGAACTGCTGAACTGCATCACTGCCACCCACAAGCCCCATCTGAAAAAAATCCTGATTTGAACGGGATCTGCATCCCTCTGCTCTACCATTGCCCCAGGCTGCCTCAGCCACCTGCACCAGCAACGCCTGTGGAGGGTCAGAGCATGGACACTGTATGCTTCCCTACCATAGTCTCCAGAATATTTTGTACTGGTAATTGTTATTAAAAAAAAAACAACAAACAGACCCACAGAAAAGAAAAAAAAGAGTAACAAGAAATTAGGGGAGCTTAAATAATGGTGAAATTACTTTTGTTAGGAAAACTGGTTCCGAGAAAGGTCTCTAAACACATTTTTATTAACAAGCCTTCTGGCAGCTGTGGCAATCGCGTGTGGCTGTCAGCATGCCCAGCAAACCTCCCAGCAGTCCATGGATGACCATAGTCCCGCTGGAACATATGCACCGGGTACATCATATGTCTACCAGACATGTGCTCTCGGTTGCTCCTCACTGTTCTCGTTTGCTGAAGCCCTTGGATGGTGGTGGAGATATTGAATTTCCCAACTGACCTCCCTGCCGCCTGGGAAGAAAGGGGAGCTGCAGCTCGGCGGAGGTTCAGGTTTCAGAAGTCTTCCCAATTCAGATGGGATTTTCGCAGATGAGCTGGATCGATATCAACTGATCCCAATGTTGCAAAAGCCAGTGAGGGTGGGAAAGGGCTGCGGGCAGTGCTGGAGCCTGTGGGAGCAGCTCAGGAGGCCATGACAGGCACCCATCAAACATGCTGTTTTTCTAGCACCTACTGTTTCAATCCAGGAGCACATCAAACCTGAATGTGCTAATGTGCCAAAAATTAACTGGGTGCAAGGCAGAGGTTACACACACTTGTATGAGCAAGCTCAGGGTTTGCAGTGTCAGCGACCCCCTGCGAGTGCAAGGCTCACCTGGGGCTGTGCCCGCAGCCTGCCTGCCTCCGCAGGGAGCCTGCACCTTGCTGGGAGGGCACATGAGGAGAAACTATTTTTAGCTGATGTGTCAGGCCAGCTTAGCGCCAGCGGGACAGGGGGAGGGTGTGTGTGACACTTCTCACCCCCTCAGACTGCCTTGTGCTGAGGGTTTTGGAGAAATCACCATTTAAAAGGCAAATCAGTTGCAGTAACTCTTGGGAAGGGGGGGGAAGGGTGTCAGGTACTGTTTGTCTCTCTGTCCTTTCTTAGTGTCAGAAGAATGGGACAGAAACCAGACAGAGCCACCTGGAACTGTAATTCTCCAGAAAAGAAGACATTGTCTGCCTGATATGGGCTTCGTGCCCCTGCCACCCTCCTGCTCCTCCCAGGCCAGAATGAATTTTTTAAAAAAATACTGAGATATTTTGTGATGTGGCTTAATCTCCCAACACCTGCAGCTGAGGAGAGAGACAATGTCAGCCTCATGTGATGCAACAGGGTCTAAATTGTGGGTTTAATTAGATCCATTCCTTATCCTTTCTTGCTTCACGTAGTTGTTTATCACCACTGACCCTCAGTCTTAATGTCCTTCCAGCAGTGTATAAAGTGATCAGTACAGGTAAGGACACTGGTCCCCAGCACACAGGTGCACACACATGCACAGGAACATGCACACCCACTGCCAGCTGCAGCCATGGCCTCTTGTCCCGCAATCCCTCCAGGCTGCCCTCAGGCTGCAACGGATCCTGGGAAACAGGCATCCCTCAGCTGGAAGAGCTGCACGGACACTATTGCTTTGGCATCTTTGTGTTACAGGCACGGTCTCTCTCCCTGCCCTTTGCCCCTTATGGCCCAACTCCATGAGCGTGTTTCCTCAGCAGGTTGGCTGCTCTTAGCTTGCATTGCACCCCAGCTGACCTACTACCCAGCAGAGCATATTTACACACCCAAAAAACCTGTTCAAAAAGCCCCACTGAACAGCTGACCAGAAAATGAATCAACAGGAGGTAACTAAAGAAAAACAAAACCTGTTACATCTGAAGCCCTGTGGGTTTTTTTATAAACTAACTCTCATCATATCTAACAGCTTAAACATTTTTTTGTATCACCTGAAGCCTGCAGTATGGGGAAGCAAAGGCTCCAGCCCCTCTGCACTCCCGGAATGGCTCCTCGTGCACTGGGGTGGCTGTGCTCATCCGCTGTCCCCATCTGTGCCTGACATGGAGCACTGTCTCCCTTCCTTTTTTTGCAGACCACGTTTTTGTTTATTCACTTACCCAGTTTGTAAGCACCCTTGGTGTTGTTTCCCTTCAGCTGACCCCAGAGAGGGCTTTTGCCAGGCTCTTTGCTAAAGGTAGTTACAGATGTTCATGAAGCTCGATCTGTTCCTGGGGCTTTGCTGAACAGGGGCCCCTGATTTTGGCTTTTTGACTCTGGCCTGTTCCCTTTTCTGTCATTTGAGCTGCTCTGTGAGATGTACATTCAGGACCTGCCACAGGAGGAAGGTGAGGATGCTCTCTTCACCAAACAAGGGATGCTCAAGGCTCCTTGGGACCTCCTCAGCCTTTCTGCTGGGTGTACATACAGCACCACTGCCAGATGCAGGTGTCTCTGAGCCACCGTCACAGAGACCTGAGGCCACCAGGGAGGCCTCAGTTGCTGTTTAAGACAGCTGTGCACATATGCACCCACAGACAATACCTCCTAAAGGGAGGCAGGTTATACCCACCCTGTAAGCTACCAACAATAGTAACCTCCACCAGCAGCACCTACATGCTGAGCAGTGCCCTTGCTTTTCTCCAAAACTGGAGAGGTGTGTGCTGCCCGTTCCCTGCGGGGCAGGGATTGTTGAGCCCGCTGCCTCTGTGCAGGAGAGTGGGGAGCAGGGAGGAGCTGAGGCTCAGCACACCCCGCACTGCAGGGATCTCACCCCCCAGCCAAACCCTGCGGCTCACCGCTCACGCCAGAACCAGCTGTGACAGCGACTGTGCTTTCACTGCGCGGCCACCTCCACGTGTGGCCTAAACCCCTCCTTGCCTCAGCTTAAGGAGCTGTTTTCTGCCCTGTGGAAAGTCCCGGGGCAGTGGTAGGTCCCCCACGCAGACCCTGCAGGTGCCTTCCCCAGCCCTCGGCAGCAAAAGGGCTCTGTCATCTAACATTTCCCTCTCTGACTGGAAGTATGGTCCGAAAAAAAAACAAGTGGGGAGAGAAGGCAATACCTGCTGAGGAGGAGGCCTCTGGCCCCGCCTGGAAGAGTTGCCCTCCTGGGAAGAGGGGGGAAACGGAGCGGCAGAGGATGGAGCGCGCTGCAGCAGGGGCGCGGGGGCTTCCGGCAGCTCCCCTTCCCCGACGCCGCTCCCCAAGCACTCGGCTCTGCGTCCCTTCGCTAATGAAGGATCTGTTTGTGCCCAGGCAAGGGCCGCCTCCAGCGCTGGCACCTCTCCCAGGAGGGCCCAGCAGCCACGCGCTGGCTCTGCTGGAGCCGTGCCCCTCTCCGCCTGCCAATAACTTTTTCCCCTGGTGCACTGCAGAGGAAGCTCACGGGGCCCCACTGTCCTGCACAGAATATATTGTCTTTTTCCCTCTCTTACAAGCCATTACTTATGTTCTGAATGTTTCTGAAGATTGCTGTGGTGCTTGAGCAATCATGCTGGCAGGCAGATGGCAATAGCACAGAGCGTGCGTGGGCCTGATCAGTTCAGTCATCGTGATGGCAGGCAGATGGCAATAGCACAGCGCGTGCGTGGGCCTGATCAGTTCAGTCATCACAGGTCAATAAAGAGCAAGTCCTCACTAAATCGCCAACGGCTAACAAGCACAGCCAGGCAGGGCTGTTTGGATTAACCTTCTTCAGCAGAAAAACACAAGTTTGTCAAAAACAACCCTGTCTGCAGGATCACTAAGTTAAAATTGTATACCAGGGATTCTCGGTTCCAGGGGGTCTGCCACTGGCAGGGCATTTTGGCTAATATTTGACAGGCTGAGCATTCATCCCTGAACAGGCTGAGCAGGACAGTGTTTGGAGACCGTTCTCTCCCCCAGTCCTGTCGAACAGCGTTTGTCATGGATTGTCCAAGCAGGTGCCTTTTCTTCATAGCCATTTAAATACAGACCAGGCAGCCATCCAGAGGGCATCTGTACATACAGCAACAGCGCGCACAACACGCAACCACCTGCTCTCGCCTCCCAATCTAGCTGTGTTCTTAAGTGGTAAAACTATAGCCATGATATATTTATTACACAAACATAATCACTGACCTTTTCAGATGCATGATTTTTAGGGTTTTTTCCTTTAAGATTGAAAGGAACAAGGAATAATTCTGCGAAAATTATAGTATAGCTTGATTTTTCTGAATGTTTAGAGAAGATATGAAAAGAGGGTATTGAATAAGACAGGGAAGGGGGCAGAGGAACAAAGGCTTGCTTATTAACAAATTAAATTGTTGATGGGCTTGGTGTATTGATTGTAAAACATACAGTATTTTAAGTAATTGCAGGATATCTGCAATAGTTCTGGAGAGGAGCCTTTGAGATATGGAAACCTCTCCTCCTTCAAATATAAACAGAGGTCGCAGTGCCAGCTAAGATTAAAAAATTGCCTGCTATTTCTCCCCTTGATATTCTACTTCTCATTGCTTATAGCTTTGCCAATTCTGAATGATTTTGGATTGAAATTTTCTGTGTCGGATGTTTCTGCAAGGCTGAATGTTTCAGCGAATTCCCAGTGGGTCTTCTCCTGAGAATGAGATTCAGGAAATGCATGCTGGTTTGTGATACTCTAACTGTAATTTCATTGAGAAACTCTTAGTCCTCCATGGGCTAAAATATATTGGAAGGGTGAACACACTATGCTTTGCCATATTTTAGGATGAAGGAAGAGTTTGTTTGTCATCTCTTTCTATGTGATATAGATGTGTGACTTCCCACCACAAATTGTTTATCCATGCAGGCCTCTATAAGGGGAATAAATTTCAACTCTTTAGTGCTGCCATTGTTTTTCTCACATCTGCTCTTCCCTAAAATGAACAGCACAACATAGAGCCTCTTTGGTCTAACTCCCAGAGCCCTCATTAACCGAAGATCAGCCATTCTGTATTGAGGCCATCAAGATATGAGAAGTTTTTTGCTACAGATGTTGGTGTTTTCTCATGAAAGATGGGACAAAGCACAAGGAGGGAAAGAAGCTCTGCATAACAGCCCAACTGCTAAAGACCCGCTGGGTGTATATATGTTATTTTGTGTATTGTGCAAAGTAGGTCATTTGAACTAACAAATTGGCTAAATACCATTCCCAGTGCAATATTCACCTATTTGTGTTTCAAGAACACCCCTAACAAAGTCTGCGAGAGTGGCTCTTGTATCCTTTGACCAAGTGCAAGTCATGATTTGGTCACTCAGGCGGAGGGCACCAGCTTCTGGAACAGAACAAACAGAGCCCTGATCATACTTGGAGCTGTTTCTGAACAATAACCAGCAGTGGCATCCCAGCACACCACTAACCCAGCTTGAGCAGTGCTCAAGAAGTGTTTCCCTTTACCTTAGTGTTCCCTTTGCTTTGTGTACTCTCCTGAATAGAGCAGTAACGATAAGCAGAAACAACCTTTGTGAACATAGCAGTGATGACCTGTTTCTGATCTTATGAGTGACATGGATCACTTCTCTGCCACTTATTTAACCAGTTCAAAGATCAAGTAAAGCATCAATGTCCATGGCAAGTTATCATTTCAGCAGAGAGGTTAAGCTGCTCCTCATTTTTACTGTTTTCCTTTGTTGTTTACTTACTTCTGGGGGAATTCACTCAATATGAGGCAGAAACCAGCAATGCTGACATTCCTATTGAAAAGCTTTGTGAAAATATTAACTTAGAGATTGCCCATTTATCCCTTGTTCTTTTGCTACGTTCCTGATTACCTCAGTCAAAACTGCTTTTCATTCTCATCACTCGCAATGAGACTGTGGAGAGAATCTTCACATGGATCGCCCCTTGGTGCTGTTTTTTTCTTATTCCTGTGCAAGCCAGTTCATCTCCACATGGAACATTATGAGGCAGCACTAATAATTAAATGCCTGGGAGCGATCTGTGGCTGGATCCTATTCATCTGCAACAAACAGGCAATACCCAAGCCTGTGTGTTAGACAGGAACACAGAGAGGGAAAACTTGGTTTGTCAGTAAATGAGATACTCCCCATTACTTCTGATTATTCAAAAACCTAGGTTAGTAATTTTTGAAAGAGCTCGTTCTGTATACAAACCTCTCTGCAATCATTTTTACATATCAGTCATATTAAAAAAAGGATACTTCCCCATTTCTGGCATATACTTTTTAGGCTGGATTTTTCTCAGCTTGATTGAACTCAGTGCTCTTGAAATCAGTGTATCAGGGATGAATCAAATTTCTCAACTTTATCAAACAAGTATTTGAACCATTCACTATGGTTACTTTCAGGGAGGAACTTAAATCTCTTGGCAAGGACATATAAAGCCATTAAAACATGAACAATTAAGCCAAGTGATGGATGTAACTTGATCAGAAAACATAAGATTAATAAAATATGCATGGAAAATTGAGTAATTTGTACTAATTAGAGACTTAACGGAACTGGAAAATAAATAGGTTCCTGAGAAGGGCTAAGAGGAGAAATCACAAATAACAGGGCTATAGATTGCTGTTATTCTCATTTTCTTTGCACTGTCTGCCCACTCCAATTTCAACATGAGGAAGTTGCATAGTTTTCACATCCACTGAACAGCAATGGGTTACAAGTTACATTGTTTTGTCATTCCTACAGTCACTATGCTCTCTTTTGATCAGTTCATACCTATTCTACAATATCTGCAGCTACTTTTGTCACTATTGAATTTGTCCAAGCGACTACTGCCCCAGCCACCTTATACAAATAAAGGCAAAAAAAAATCACAGTATTCCTGCAAATGCAAAACGTCACATTTTTAATGCACATTTTGTCATAGTCACTGCCTAACACATTACCCAAACCTTGGTTTACACGTGCAAACACAAACAGGGAAAAGACAAACACATGATACTTGCCAGCCTAAACCATGGGATCTCTGTGGAATGCCAAAGCGCCAGCCCTGCTCCTGCAACGGAGCATGTACCCAACTGAGAGTTGGTGGTAGGAGTTTATTAAGTTACCTAAAGGTGTAAAGATTAAATAACGTGTTTGACTTTATTCTTGCAAATAATTGCAGATAATAAATACACATGAAAAATCATTAACATATACTGTACTAAACCCACATATTCTAGGCAAACAAACTCCTTCCTTTAAGTACATACTTACCCCATGTTACCAAAATGCACACTCTACCTGGTACAAAGTTTTGTACAAAATTATTAGGTTACCAGTACTCAGATGTGCTCTAACCTTTCTTCATGAGAGATGTAACAATGCAGATACTGCTAAACTGCAGTTACTAGAATTTTTCCTGATAAAATAAACTTGTGGTTTTGTCAACACTTTTTTTTTTTTTTTTTTTAGTTTAATTTCACCCCTATGAATCTGTTGTGGGATTCAGACAAGCATCTTTAAGATATGTTTGTACAAGGGTATTGGATGAATCCAGACCCTCCTTTCTGCAGCCACAAATGCCTTTCTGGCATCACACCTCTGTGGTGCAAGTGACCTTGCATTTTATAAGCCCTTGCAAAAGGCACTCTCGGGCCTTTCATGCTGCGCAATGCTGTGGACGCTTCCTGAGTGACTGCACATTAGGAGCCAGTAAAAATAAGCTGTGAAGGATACAGCAGAATGCCAGATTCCTCCATCGCAGCGCTGGGATGTCAGACCATCTCCTGTTTTCACAGAGCCATTACACAAAAGCCCTCAGCCTTCAGGCAGGATTCACTCTCTTGTTCAGACATTCAGGGTACCACCCAAAGCATTTGACACAGAGCACACCTAGTTTGGATAGCTTTTTTTTTCTACATAGGTGTTTAAACTATAGAAATTTGCACAAAGAGATTGAAGGGAGTTATTAAAGTAGAAAATACATTTGTTTAAAATACAGATTCAAAATATCAAACACATTCACTCACTATTTCTTCTCAGTTATCATTAAACTAATGACAATTGTTTTCATTCCTATATTTAACCTAGAAGGTATGTTCTTAACAAATTGCAAGACTATCTAATAAAATATGATATCAAATTTAGGACAAAAACATTTGTTATGGTGCAATAGTGACCAGCAATTTAGACAGATAAGAATTCTAATCCAGTATCTCATAAAACCATTATGTAAAGCGAGACACTGATAAGCACAACAAATGTGCACTAAGATAGAGACGACAAATACGAACATTAAAGAACTTAAGGACTCAGATAAGAAACTATAAAAAGGAATTCTTTTAATGAGCAACAAGAGGAAAATATGCCCCCACCCCGGGAACAGAAGCATTTGTTCTCAAACTCAGTGCTCTCTTGCGAGAGGATTTAGGTTATCTTTGAATATCTAAGAGAAAGAAATCAACTCATCCTGTTTGTGCTACATTTATAATGTATGACTACTGTTAAACATATTTTTGTCCATATGGAAAAAACAAGCAAACATAAATGCTAGAGATGTATAGATACATGCTCTTTCCTTTTTTACAGTAATACGCTTCCTCAGGTTAAAGAACAGGATACCCTAAGGCATTCTCTAAGCTATTCATGCATAAAATCACAAAAGGTGTACCTGTAGATCAATAAACTGTTTATTTCCATGAAAAAAAAGTAACATCATTAGTTCAGGGAAATTCAGGTCTCAATTGAATCAAAGACCAAATACCAACTGACTTCAGTGACAGGAGGAGCTGGCTTTCAGGATTAAAAGCCATCAAGCTACATAATGTTTTAGAATGATCATTAAGTTTTAGCCTGTAAGGATTTCTCAGTATCATAGTACATTTAAGTTTCTTCTTTTTTCTTTTTTTTTTTTCTTTAACTTATGTATACTGATTACAGATGACCAGGTCCTGAATCCCTCAAGTCAAAGGAACACATAACATGCATTGACTGTTCTTAGCAGGATAACCCCCAAATCAGTTATTCAGCATGTAAGGAAGTAGAAAAAATAATTTTAATTGTTCTTTAGTACCTTGTTAGAAGTAGGCTGTACTGTTCCCAGCACTCAAGGCTATGGAGTTTAAGATAGGACTTGCATTAATAAAAGAGGGAGTATCAGTGTGAAAGAACTCCAAAATAATGCAATTGCTTGGAGATCTGAGAGGGGGGGGGAGGGTGGTTGCAATGTAGACAACACCAGTTTAATTCCTTGTTAGGTTTGCATGATCTCTTCTTTTTTTTTGCATGGTTCAACCCCTGTTTAATGCAGGGCATGTGGGGTTTGGCAACAGATCTTGCAGATAAGGAGAGCTGTTCTGCTCTGAGAAGTAGAGGCGGATCTGAAAGCAGTGGAAGATTACCAGGTCTGCTCTTCAGCAAAATAAAAAGCCACAGCGTGAGTAATCCTATCTTCAAAGAATGCATTTGAGTCATTCTCTGAATAATGATGGGATTACTCATGCAGGTAAGGTTAAGAACATGTTTATGCTGAACTAACACATCTGGACAGAAGCCATAGTATTTTAGGGGGACTACAGGAGAGATGGGGAGGCACTCTTTATTAGGGAGTGTAATGACAGGACATGGAGTAACTATTTTAAGATGAAAGAGGGTAGATTTAGATTAGATATTAGGAAGAAATTTTTCACTGTGAGGGTGGTGAGGCACTGGAACAGGTTGCCCAGGGAAGTTGTGGATGCCCCATCCCTGGAGGTGTTCAAGGCCAGGCTGGATGAGGCTTTGAGCAACCTGGTCTAGTGGAAGGTGTCCCTGCCCATGGCAGGGGGGGTTGGAAGTAGATGATCTTTTAAGGTCCCTTCAAACCCAAACCATTCTATGATTCCATGCTGTTCTCTTCAGAGGTTTTCTCTGCAAATACTGGAACACCCACAGAATTGGAGGGAGCACAAAAATCCCTTTCTGCTTTCCATGTTATTATCACACAAAAACTCCCTGAACTTAAACTTAGTGATTTTTGCTCGGCTTTGGAGCATGTTAGTCCTCATATAGGATATGATTTTGTCCTAATACCAGGACCAAAACGCTTCTTGACACTCTAGGACAGTGCAGTGAAGAAAAAAGTATTTTATAAGGGGATATAAACCATTATTCTGGTTTCAGAAGTAATTGAAACTAATATGACTGTGCAGATTGAATTGAAAAATGTCACCATTAAACTCTACAGTATATAGAATATATATCTACAGTGATATAAATATCTTATTTTGGGGTACAGAGCAAAAATGTAAACAAGGGTTTGTTTTGATGAGATCATACCAGCTAGCATGAGAGTAGGTGCCTAAGATGAGAAGAACTCTCACTGCAAAGCAGGGATGACAGGGTTCACACAGCCCAGGCCAGGCAAGAGGGGGCTGTCAGACACAGAAGCTTCCTGTGCCACCCCCCTCAAACCAAGGGTGGCTGAGAGAAGAGGATACAGATCCTTAGGCAAGGAAGAAAACCCAGGTCTGGAGGTAGACTGAAAAAGGGGAGGTGGGACAGAAAGCCATGAAAAAAGCAGCCAGAATGATGCATTCCTACCTATCAGTTTTCTGTGGTCCACTGTCAGAAGGCATGATCACTGCATCAGCAATCAAGTGTTGATGCACGAGTTGTAACAATAATGGGACATTTACAGACACTTGGACTAAAACTACTAGAGTAACTGGTAACTCTTCTATTGATCAGTGTCCTCCAGCTACCATTTTTGAAATTATATTTTTCTAACTGATTTTGTGTGGTATAAGGAAAAATGAGCTACAGACAGCTGGTCTATGAGAAAAATGGTGTGTAGATACCACATCTACTAATAATTCATTAATAACTAAGTCCACCTCTGTGCAGAGAATCTGAAAAAGACCTATATGCCATTTATTCTTTTCCATTGAGAACTGAGAAGGCCTTGATGGAGGCATTTGGCAAATTTGCTGGTGTAGCTCTTGAAAGTTATGACAAATCTGATGCTGGATCTGAGCTGAAATAAGAGAGAAGGGGAGCACTGAAATAATGGTCTGGAATGAATATGACTTTCAAAGGCATCAGGCATTTTAGTTTTACCTAAACTAAAAATAACTTACTAAGACAGCGGTAGATCAAGTGAACAACTTTTCCTAAACCATTAATAAAAATACATTTGCCATTCAACAGAATGCATAGTATACAAACTATTTGCACATTTTGCAAACTTAGTATTATTTTTTCAGTCGGAAGCTGTTCCACAGAATACTTTGTTAGCAATGGCACATTTTCTAGTAGAAAATTTGAAAGAAAAAGAATAAATTAGTTTAACTTTGAAATTATTTATATGATTTGATGCAATGTTAAGTCTTCTCTCCTGAATCATAACTGTCTGAGTTTACAGTGTTTTGAAGTCTCAAGCCTGTAGCTGTCAGCTGCAACAGGACAAGAGTGGACAAGGCACTCTGTGGTGAGTTTACAAATCTAACTGCAGAAAATGTGAAGCAAAGAATTGTCATGTTTTTTACATATGTATAATCAGGTAGGTTTCAGCATTTAGGGTAATCATTCCAACTGCTCACATCAAATCAGACAGGTTCTCTAAAATCTGTGTAAGTCTGACAAGGGATCTAGAAATCCTACCAAAATTTCTGCAGTACCTCAGTCATGGGGAAAAGGTTTTATATACTTGCTCTGTTGAAAAGGCAAGACTGGATACAAATTAAAAGGCACAGATATTATAGAATAGTCACATTTATATAAAGATATCTTATAAATTTAACCGTGATTAAAATTGGGAACAGCCATTTTGCTGTTGCTTTATTTCTCAGTGCTGACTGTTTCTTGACCAAACATCTCTACTTTTTCTACTGCCGCACCACTGTGTGCTGGATGAGTCTTTCCGGAACAGCTTTTCTTGTTTCTTCCCATTTCTGTAGCTTCCACCAAAGTATTAGTCAGTGGTTTTCCCAGTGTTTCTGGAAGCATTATTGTTAATATTCCACTCAGAAGAGCCATGATTCCAACAAGCAACTAGAAGAAATAAACAGTAGCTGTAAAGGTAGAAGTGTCTTTCAAGTTATGGGTATCTTTGATCTTGCCTGAAAATACACTTAAAATAAAGCACAAGGAACCATAATGTAAAGCAAAGATCATAAATCTTAAATGCTGACTGTATGAAAGATCTGCCTTTTTTTGTTGCATAAATGAGAGATTATGCAGCAGAATTAATGAAGAGCAAGTGAAGTGTTCTGTTCCACAAGGGACCAATACAGTACAAGCAGGAATAATTCTGCTTGAGAAAACATACATATATCTTCATTTGGTACTTCTACTATGGTATGAATTTAAGAACTGATTCTAGGATTGCATACATTTTTACAAGCATGTTCACAGAGCTACAATTTCCCTGCCACCTGTAATCTCAGTTTGCACTCTAGCTCCTGAACCTATTCCCACTATACCTATATGCCTGTTCCTCCTGCACACAGCCAGATCAGAATTTCCCAGTATGGCTCACTGGCCTGGAGCCACGGAAGTGCACATCCCTGCTCAGGAAAACACCTCAGCAGATAATTAATCTGGCTCTCAATAGGAATACTTTGCTAAACTGCAGTTTCAAAGATCTGTTAGAGGTGCAGACATCTAGTGCTGTTTGCACTGGGATCACATCTTGGATTTGTCCATTGTGTTCACCATTCCGTAACAGCATGAGTGGTGCAAGGATCAGGATCATGTGGGGTAGATGCAGAAACACACACATGCCCCAGAGTATCTTTTCCTTCCCTTCATTTCTGTGCCCTGTTCAGTGAGAACAATTCACATTTTCCTCCTTTGAAGTACAGAACAGCATTAAAACCCTGACATTCTTCCAATGCCAAGTTATAAATTACCCTAATCTCTCTTTATATAAAAGCTTCCACAGAGCACATCGTGCCTGGCCTCAGTGTTTTTCCATTTTATGAGTGTGCACTTTGATACTGTATTATCCTTATCTCACCCTGTGCTGATTCTCAGGTCTGTCCTGTTTGTTTAATACTTTATTTCCAAGTGTGAGAGAGCGCTTTGGAATTACTATGCCTATGTCTCACACAGAGCTTGAGACAAGTACTGGCCAGCTACCATCAGCAGCTAAGCCAGACTTTCTCCTTAAATCAGAAAGATGCTTTAAAATTGGGATTCTCCATTGTAACTGTGAACAGTGCTGTTTTCATGCACATACACCGTGCTGCTTTTGCTCCCCACCTCCCTACAAAAGAAGTTGTCTCAAGCCCTCTTCTGAGAAGCAGAATTCACACTGTTGCATACACTCCTCTGTTTGCACTTGCATTAAATATAGAGGCTGACAAAATAAAAAATACAATTGAATACTACAAACTCCAGTGAAGATAAAAGTCATGCTCTTACCATGAAAAATTTAAAAAAAAAAAATCCTAGCAATAATAGGACCAGAGGAAATGGCGCTGGGTGACAAACAGAGGGAAATCCTTGCAGACATATATATATGTGGCATAAGTGATATTTAAAAATATATTCCAAAATATTAAAATCTCACCTCTGAGTGTCAAAACTCTTCTCCGTTATTAAAACATTATTTTCTGCCGTGGCAAGACAGGATGAATTGGCACATGGCAGATGTTCCACAGTAACCTCTCTTATGCACATCCTTTAGGCTGTCATAAGTCTATATTTGAGGATACTGAGGTCTGTAAAGGATACTGAAGCTTATGGACACCCATACGTTTGGAGTTTATGAGAACAGGATCACCACTGATTCCCAACAGAACAAGGTTAAAGCAACACTGTGTGCTTTGAAGTTGTGTATCTTCTCTGTTTCGGTTAGTCTTTCAGACACTTTGCATTCTTCTCATGTTTTCTTTCCTCATGAACCTACCTCTTATTCCCCTGCGAACTCTCTCTATTCTGCAAGCGTACACACCACCATCTTTCCTGCCTTTTCATCTCAGCTCCCTTAACTCTATTCCACCACGTGTTAGTTTTTTTTTTCAATGTGAAAGCTGTTGCATGCCAACTAATTCAGTGTGTTTCCCTTTCCTCTGACCCTACAAAGCATTTTCCAGTATTTCCTATGAAAGACAGAATATGAAACAATTAAGTCACAGTATATTAACAAAAGGACTTCTCAAATGTCATCTACGTTTTCAGGGGCAGTAAGCACACTTATCAACAAAGTTACTCACATTTAGTCTAAGCAATTCTTATCTTGGTATACTTCTTCAAGAGGCATCTGACATAATTTAGCTCTTTGCTCGCTCATAACAAGTGTGTACATTTTGTATGTATGTACTGGTTTAGATATATAATTCTGCATCAGAAAATGTTCTTCTGAGATAGTCAATGAGTTAAAAGCTTATGGATTAAATTGTACTATTGTACAAAGTATTTAAGTATGCTTAAGTTCCATTGAAGTTAATTTGACAGGAGTACCTTCTCAAAGTCATTGCTTTTTCTAGGTCTTAATTTGAAATGGGACTTTCTGCTTAGTCAAAGTATTCCCAACACTTCAGTACAGGTAGCAGCTTCTAACAGCTACCATAAACAACTTCAAAGAGAGATTTACTACCATTTTTCAATATCTTCTTCCCTACCTGGAGCAATAATTTTAATTTCACAGTGGTCTAAGACCAGGACTTAATATATCTAGTCTAGAACAAAAGACAATTTGAATTAAATATCTCTATAAAATAACACTTTTACTTCTGAGAAAAAATGATTATGTCTCTGAACCGATCTAAAACATGATCTTATTTACAAAATTCCTACTTCAACAAAAAAAAGTTAAAATTTGTCCTGAAAATCCACTAGTATTAAGACCCAGGATTTGCATTCATTTAACTTTACTGACTTCAGTGGAGGGATTTTTTTTTAATTTATAATTTATGGTTTATCTGAGAGAAAAATCAAGTCTGTTAAAGGGCTACTGTAACATAATTCTTAACAGCTGAGAAACAAAAATAGGTTATACATGGAGCAGTTGCTTTACTCCCAAGTTTTCTAGAAAGTTGTCACGTGAAAAGCATACTTGGCAAGTTATTCAAGATTTATAGGCATTCAAATGAGATGCTTGTGTTACTCACAGGTGGCATAACTGTACAGGAGGCAGACTGTCAAACAAATAGCAGTAGTAACTGCTTGACAATGTGTGGTGTATACAATAGATTAACATGATGTATATCAGTTTACTTACAAATGTAATTCATTCAATCTCACTTCCATTCCAAAACACTTACGTTACCTGAGGCTTGGCACGCTACGCTCCAACTCAAGACAAGCCTATTTAATAAACTGACAAATGTTTTATCATAGGAGCTAATAATGAAACCATATTAACTGTGAACTACTACACAACTCCACAAATACTCTGGATACTTTTTGTATACTGAGAGTTGTTCATAGCTGAAATAATTCCTCTGTTTATACTGCCATTTGCACTGCTCTCCAGCATGTCTGAGCATTCCCCATCTGTGGTTTAACTGCAGCACTTCTGCACAGATAAAACTTATCTCAGACACTAAAGGCAAAACTCTGACAAGAGAAAAAGAGTGTTCTCCCATGACCATTCTGTTGTGCAAATGTTTCTTCGCCTTTTCTGGGATGATATCTTGGCTTGTATGGTGCCATTATTAAGAAAGAAAACATATTTTAGGAGCTTGAGGGAATAAATTAATTTGTGGTCTGCTTCATCCTCTTAACTTTCATCCAAAACAACTGGAAGTCATTAATTTAAATAATGAAACAAGTTCCCAAGAATTCTTTGAAACCAATCTCTAGCATCTATCATTGAAGATTTTAGAGTTGCAAAATCAAAAGAACACAATGCTATTTTTTCAGGAAATTCCTGGGTGGGAGACAAAATTAGAGGAAGAATCTAGATTAAAGGCACATCCCATTACATTGTCACGTTCTGACATATAATCTACATATAATATTTGTGTGCTAGTTACAGTGAATTCTAAAAGGTTTTGAAAGAACTCAAACTATTTTAAAATTGTTAATAAACTCTTCTCTACTTAAAACCTTAATATAAACTCTGCAATTCCTTATGTTTTTACATATATGGGGATAAATTATCCTTCAGGAGAAAAAAAAGGATTGAATAGCTGCAGGATTTCCAAGCAGCAAATGCCTCATAACAGAAATGTAATGAAGAAATGTGACTCATCTGTGAAATACATAAAATATTTTGTCAAACATTGATCTGAAGCTACATAATGCAGACAAAATGGCCAAAGTCTACAAAGGAATGGTCCCACCTCTCTTTTCCTGGGGCAACTGGTGGTAGAAGACAAAGCCTAACATTAGCACAACCTGGTGTCACCTACAGGTAGGATGTGCTTAATGAATCCAAGGTTCTGTTGCTTGTCAAAGTCACTGTAAACCTCATCAATGTACCATTTGCTTCTCTTTTTGTATATCATGAATTTTTTTGTTCAGTTCTTATAAATGAAAAAAAGGAAAAAGGGAGCTTTGGGAAAGCTTTGAAGACCAAGTATAGTAAGCATGAGACATTCTTGATCTTTTGGAAGGCCTTCCTTATTGTTCTTAACTCTAACCCATGAGTCTCCTTACCAAGGGATGGGTGAGGGTGAGCAAGTGGCTGTGTGGCATTCGCTGCTGGCTGAGTTGAACCATGGCATTTGCATGTTTTTTACAAATATGAAGTTACTAATCTTTGAGATGTAAAATTTAGAACAGGAATGGTTTGTTCAATTTCCTTTTCAAAATAAAGCTTTTGGTTCCTGACAAAACAAGTGACACATATGCCTTTTCAAAACCAGAAATATTCACCACTTAAATATATACTTACGAGTGGCATGAAAATCCAAACGCTTCTCAGATATACACAGAAAGGAGCAACCACACTTCCTACACGGCACATCATGCTTCCACTTCCAACAGCAAGTGATCTACACATAAAAGAAAGACCCAAAAAGAATTCTGGCAGACAAAGCAAACAGAAATGCACAGACGTTTAAAACATCAGTAGGATGCTACATGTCTTTATGCAATTATCCTAGGAAGTTATTGCTATACCAGTGTAAATTTATACTGTAATGAAATTCAGCTGCTTCTATAATTAAGATTAAAAATATAATCATCATTCAGCATAGATCACAAGATGAACAACCAGGACTCTTAAGAAAGGTAGAAATAAGATTTAAGAAAGTATTGAGTATTATTCTAGTTCCTCAGTGAAACCACATGGAAGTGAAAAATAAATAAAAATTTATTGTACAGTCAAATACGAGACAACTCTGAAGCAGTGGAGGAACCCATCCCATCCCAAGTTTTTCAGACCACTGTCATTAATGCCAGGAGCTGATGGATCTGGCCTAGGAGCATAACAAAGAAAAGGAAATAACAGCAAAATAATGAAAAATAAATGGCTGGAGAAAGTTCTTACCTTACAATTGTTGGGTACAGTTCTGCTGTGTAGAGATATATAAGGCCAAATGCCACACCTATTGAAAATTTTCCAGCCATATTTGCTAAAATAATTAATGTATTGAAATCCTATTGAAAGAGAGCACAAATAAATAAATCACCAGAAAATAACACTGTTCCAAACTTAATTTAAATCCTTCAAAAGTTGTGACCCTTCTTGAAATAATAAGCAATACTTATTGCTTGCTTTTTAAAGATCTGTCTCAAAAAGTAACTAGTGTCCATATAACTTTTTACCAGTCCTGGTTCACTGAAGCCCTGGGAACATTTTACATGTGACTCCAGCAATGAAACTGTGAAACCTGTATTGAAAATACAGAAATCTATCTTAGACTGGCAGCCGCATTTTAAAAACAGCCTTTAGTCAACTATATGATTTAGAAAGAGTGGCCACATCTACAGACAGTCTTTAAAATAAATTTCTACTATAGGAACACTTTCAATTATATGTGACTAACCTGAGGTATGAACATAATTAAAACACAGATCAATGCACTTAAAATAAGGAATGGAATGAGTGTGTTTCTCCTTCCCAGTCTGTCCATCCCAATGCAAGCAATGATATAGCAAGGCAACTCCACAGCACCTGTCAGTATGAAATTATTTTGGTTTAAGTCACGGTTACACATATTCATGTTATAACTCTAACTTCCTCTTTGTGAGGATTAATTTAATCTAGGGGGTAATAAGTTAAGTGAAATTCTGAGATAACCACTGTGTTGGGCTAGTTCACTTTGTAACAGAAATGGCAACAGAAGGCAGAAAATACAGCCTAGAATATGGTAATGGAGGATGGAGAAGGACAGGAGAGACGAGTTTCACAGCACAGAGCAGCTCCAATCCTCTCTAGGGTGGAAAATTATAGAAAACAGCAAGGCCACTGTCCTGCTTTTATGATGCTGGCACTTGTGCTGAAAGCTCTCCATTTGCTGCTCTTTTGCTTCAGGTTTTTTTCATATCAACAGCTTAAGGAAGCCCACAAGGAATACTGCTGGTGTCACACTGACAAATCTCTCAGGATTTGCCAGCTTCCACCTGGACACAGAACCAAAGCCACAGGTGCCTCCACCAGCTTCAGCCCCAAATCACCCCAATGGAAAAGGCAAGCAAGGTTTCTTCAGGTCCAGTTTTCTCTGAGCCAGCTCCCTAAATACAGAGAGTGCAGTTCCAGCTTTCTCTCTTCTCCATTAAAAAGAGGGCAGCTGGCTTACAATATCCCAGTCTCACTCAGATAGTCTCTTCCTAATGTCTACTTCCAGGGAAAAACTGCTGCAGCTCTAAAGGAACTGGCATTTGGCTAGGACTATTTACAAACCCTGTTTAAACACGATTTGCCCCTAGACAAATCATATTGAGCCTAAGCCAGTTTGGACACGTTTTAAACCAACTTGCTCATGAAGAATGCTACCATGTCCAATGTAAAATCAAAGGAGAACTTAAGATACAGCCTTGAACTGACATGCTGCTTTCCTTTACTAAGCATGTACAGTATGTTGATATGTTTATAATATTGGGAAACAATCTTTTGGCCTTGTGTTGGTAAAAGCAGGTTGCAATTATTTAGTGTGTGTTAGTCTCCTGAATTGGTTTTGGAAGAGGTGGATATGGTGACTTACACATTGTACTCCACCGTAACAGTTTTGTTATCTGTGCAATACTAGCATCCACTCTTCAACATGTCACTCTATCAATACACTCTAATATGTGACAACACAAACTGAATTCATGAGAGCCCCAGTCCTTCTGTGTGCTTATATAGATGAATAGTCACATTCACTTTGCTGAGAGCACTGAGTTGCATAAAGCGAAGCGTATGATTTAATTCTCTGCTGGCTCACAGCTATGTGCCTGGTCTAGAGTCTTCTGAAGTCAATGGAATATTTCCACTGATCTTAACAAACTTTGGATCAGGCCTTAAATGCACTGAATTGCCTTTATAAACAACTTACATACCAGAGAAAGATTACAATCAGACCAACAAAATTAAAATAATAACTAAATTAAAAATATGCTTTTGAGAAAACTAAAATTACTCTTGCTTCTGAGAATTATGAATCTATTTTCTATACAGACTGACACAAAATATCATAACTGTAAGTGATTAAAGGAATAATTTTATTCTCTCCTTTTGCTAGTTTGTGCCTATAACAGCCACATGAATTTTCTGTTGCTAGTCTGCTTCCCTTGGTGTTTGTGTGGAACTGCTACAGGCTTGTAGGCAAAGAGGAGACAAGTAGAATATGGTTTTACAATCACAAAGACAGACAGAGAAGAATTTTGTACACCAACAAATTTTAAATTATCTTTGTTTTCAGAAACAGTGAGACTTAGAGTGAATGATACTCCTCCTGTATCAGTCAACTTTATGAATTGTTAGCAAGAAACTTAGAGAACAAGGATCGTAATTGAATGAACAAAGTTAAAAAATTGGCTGTCAAATCTATAGACATTTCTAACTGTTATGTTCTATTTCTGACATAAACAGAATAAAGTGCAAAAATATTTACCTATGAGAAAGAGATTTAAATATTCATTGCCTCCTAGGCTGACAGAACTGAGAGAGAAGACGTAGTACCCCAAGCTCCCAGTGAACCAGATTAGCCAGACTGTGATGGTCCTTGTTGCAATGTGCCAATTACAAAACAGGTCTAAGATGTTGTGCTTCTTTGTTGAGGATGTGTCATTGTCACCCGTTCTGACACTGACTAGATCATCTTGTTGTACTGAGTACAGTTCAGAAACTTTGCAGGGAGTGCTCACTTTATTCCATCTTGCCATTATATTAATTACTTTTTGTGCATCTTCATATTTTTCCTCTGATAGGAGCCAAAAAGGTGTTTCTGGGAGCATCCAGCAGCACAAGACAAAGGGAAGAGTTGCTATGGAGAGAAATATCTGATAGACCCACCAGGTCCGAACCAAAAATCCCACGAGTGCCACAACCATAATTCCCACAGCAAAAAAAGCATGGACATGCATAGAAGCCCAAGTTCGTGCTTTAATGCCAACAAATTCAGTCACATAAACAAAAGCCACAACAAGATAGCCACTTGAAACCTGGGGGGATGGGAGAGAGAGAAAAAAAAAAAAAAAGAGAGGTTTGTATCTACTTTTCATGTGCAACAGCTAACAGTAAAAACAAACAGCTAAATGTTCCACATTTGAGTACACTTAATTGCCACCGCACTGGCATGTCCCACACTAATGGAAAAAAAAGGCAACCTTGAAAACAAATCAGATGGAGAAAAAGTTCCCTCAAACCCTTAGGCTGCCTGGACACTATATTTAAAAATGTGAAGTGATTTTGGATGCTTCTCTGCAGTGGGGGAGAGCCAGCTAGAGACACCTGAAAAAGAGCCTGATTTGTTGAAGTCACAAAGCCCTTCACCTCCAAAAATCATGTCCCCTGATGACATTATAAATGGAACATCTGGGAAAATGAGGTCCCCTGATGTAACTGACACCTCTAATAATCTGGACCTTGGCTTTTAACTAGACTATTAATAATCTGCATGTCAGGGAACTGCAGAATTACCTTCTACAACCTCATAAATTATCTCATAAAATCAAATTTTCACAATGTTGGAAAATAATCTCATTTATATGGTTATAGGTTCTCATATGTATTAATGGAATGCAACTACTGGCATGTTCTGCATTATAGTATTTCTTCATTTAATATATCTCTATAATTGAATATATATATATATATTTCAGTTTCTCTAGTAACAGTCAAACTCTTGGTATCTCAAAACATTTCAAAACACAGCTAGAAAATCTAGATTAGAAAATATTCCAGTATATTGTTTTGATTAATCCATTTTCTGGTTAAAAATACTCCAGTTAATAAACTCTGATTGTGAACCCACTGAACCTGATAGGAAAGCTTCACTGATTCAGTGGGGCTAGAGCTTTAGACCTCCATCACATAAATCAGTCCCAGAGAGCAGTTAGAACCTACAGCATCAGTCTGATCAGAGCTTTTTGCTTTTCTAAACTGCCAGAGCCCCTGGCATCAACAGCCAAGGAAGTCAGCAGAGCAACTCCTGTTGATCTCACTGTTGAAGGCTGAAATGCCCATGAAGTTTTTCCTGCTAGGAAATCCTTCTGAGTGAAAGGGATCTCCAGGTGCAAGGTCCTGTCTTGACTAATACACTGCCAGCAAAAAAATTAACCTATTTCTAATGTACTTTAAATAACTTACATAATTTTTCTTATTGTAGCTTTCTGATTTCTTTATGCATTACATAGTGAAAGACTACAAATATTATACTTTTGGATGTAAAATTGTAATTTAAAATTGGTTGCTATGTATATAAATACTGGACATATATTAGATATTGGATATATATCAAACATATATATTAAGTATGTGTATAGACATGCATAAACACATATACTGGAATACCCTTAAGTAGAGTATAAACATTTAGGTATTAAGCATATCTACCTACATATTTAGTACTTCAGATGTAGCCTAAAGACCAAAGAGATGCATGGAAGAGAAAATGTGCATCTCCCCTCCATCACTCAAAATGGTAGAGATAAAAATCATACTTATTATAGATTCATTATTTTAAGAAAATTATACTCCCATTTCTGACAATAAGGAGAAATGCAATAGCAGCTGCAATGCAGAATCCAGAGTTTGCTGCTCACAGTTGGTATTTAATTACCAGTCCAGCAGAGGTTGGGATGGAGGAAGTACCAAACACTGCTTCATACAGATGCTTTCTATTAATTCAAAGAAGAAAAGTGCTGTGGTCCAAGAACATTCAGACTCTCCCTGCTCTGCTGAAATAAGTGCAATAGAGGGGGCTTTAGAATAGTGAAGTAGGGGAGGAAATAAGAACAAAAGGGAGGTTTTCCTGAGAAGGGGTAGGAAACAACAGAAAAAGATCCAGGGTGAACATCCTTTCTTACCATAGCAAGGAGAAAGCGCACAATCACAAAACTGTAGTAGTCAAATGTGAAGGCCACTGCGATGCCAAATACAAACTGACCGGCACTTGTGAACCATATAACACGCTGTCTTCCCAGTCTGCAATTCACAGCAGTAATAAAATTATGAATAACCACAAACATTCCATTAAAACACACCTGCAACTCCAGAGAGCTTATCTGGAAGTGAGTCTGAAAAACCGTACTTAATGCTCTCACTCACCACAGAAACTCTAGATTAGTGCCCTGTATTTTCGTCACCACATGAGAAAGAAAATTATCAATTTTTCAGTAATTACAGCTAAGCACAAGAAAAAGGAAGCTCCTATGGAAGTAACTTCCATTCCACTCTTCTTGGCTGGAAGCAACATGCAGAAGTGGGCATTACATATGCCCCCCTCCAGTTTCAAGTTTAATTTGTACATAACTAACCTGCAAATTTACTCTGTCTTCTTCTTGAGGACAGTAGGCAAGACCTGCTTTTTCAGATATTTTATATTAAGTAATGTATAGTTAATAACTTCTAACAGAAGTTAGCTGTGATAACACATGCTATCTCTTGTCAAAGTAACAACCAATTTGGATAGCAATGAAATGTTTCTGTCTTTGTCCAGTAATTTAAAGTTGAATTTTCTAATGGCAATTAAATACTTCATCTAAATTTTCTGATCGCATCACAGCACACATCCATGCATGTACAAACACAGAAATCCAATAAGCTAGTACACTAACAGCAAAAAACCCCTAAGACAAATACTAGCTGCCCATCAACAACAGAGTAATGTCCAGGGTAAAAAAAGGGCATTTAGTAAAAAGCAACTTTTATTTGTTTATCTTCTTCCCATATCTCAGGGAGATAACACACCAAGAAGAGTCAGTTGTCCCTAAACACGCTAGCACATGCTATCAATAAGAAGCTCATCTGAGGAGAAAAGCCTAGATATTTTCAGTAGATGTACAACACTCTATTGAGAACTCATTATATTCTGTCTACAAATGTTCTGTAACACAAAACGTGGAATAATTTTTCTTCCCTCATAAGATTCTCATGGACTTTTATTATCTACTCCACTGTGAACAGCTTTTCACAGATGTTGGTATTACGTTTAGGTACAGAGTTTGAGGACTATTAGGGGTGACCTCATTTGTCATTTTTTCTCTGTGTTAAGTACTACCTCAAAACAACCCTGGACAGTGATGCTGTAAATAAGAGGTGTAGTCCAAACAGCCACATGGCATAAGTTGTTTCCAGTGCCCTCCTATTTTTCTCCCACCCTGACCTGGAGTCATGCACATTTGGTCTCTGATCCCTGCCAGAAGAGATCCCAGTGAGTACCAGCTGTCAGAGCTCTTCTGTTGGGAAATCTGTTCATTGGGAACGGGAGGAACCCACAAACTTATTTCCCACCAGCCAGGATGTGTCAGAAAATAATAACTTTCAGCTGTAAAATCTACAGTTGTAAATTTGCAACTCAGAATGTGTGTATTACCTTAACTGGCTGTCCGTGGCTTGAATATGGAAATTCAATATTCCAATCCCAATAATGGAATATTCCAATTCAATATTCCAATCAATTCCAATAATGGAAATGAGAACAGTATGATCATAACCTTACAAATCACTTCTGAGTATTAATTAATAAAGCTATGAATGATTTAAAGAAATGCAGAACAAATGTTGGCATTATATTCTGGTTTTGTATTAAATACAGTTATACAAAGACTTGGATCAGGAGGGAGGATTGATTTCATGTGTTCTAAAAGCCAAATTAAAAAAAAAAATCATCTTTATTTTTGCATTCCCATGTTGTTACCGTAACACCGTAGCACTATGTTAACAAAGGAAAAGCAGAAAACATACCTGGACTCCTTTTTCTTCTCATATTGTTAGCTGTGGGATAAAACTTCACCCTCCACCTAACAGAGCTGTTAGTCAACAAGCTCCTTTATAGCAAGAGATAAATAACACTAACCCAACCTTCAAATCAAAACATAGGTAGTGCCTGAGACAAAACCGAGTACAATGTAGCTTAGGCACTAGACCCTCATGGGGGCAGAGGGGCACGTCTGGGCCTTCTTCTGAGGTAGGAATACATATGTTTGTGTAGAGAGAGAGAAAACCAAGAGAAGCAGGAGGATACAGGTGCACATCCTGGATCTTACAGTTGCTTCTGAGTCCAGCTGTGACACTGGATCTCGGTGTGACCTGAGAAACCACCCAGGGAGGAAGTGTCTGAGGGGAGCAGGCTGAAGGACGGCCTTGGCGCTGTGAGCAAGGGACTGCTCGGGTCGAGTCCTCGGCCTGACTCTCCTCATGCTCAAACAGAACTTTGTACATGCTGGTAAATAAGTGAATCTACCGCACAGCTCACTGTCAACCATTTCTCCTCCTATCTGGACTAGCTTTCAAGACACTGAAATTTAAGCTAACCACTCAGGGAAAAACTACAGTTGGACAACAAGGAAAGATAGTGTATGGGTGTTTATTTTAATAACATGGAGCCTAATCAAACCCTCAAAGCCTTTGCACCAGCCTCACAAAGCTGCATTCATGACAGAGGTTAGGAAATTTGTGATTTTAAAATACATTCTTTCTAACCTTCCATTCACCCTTCAGCTGTTTACCATACCCAGAAATAAGAATCTACGTTTCCGTGAGGAATCTCTCCTCGTTAAAAATGAGGTGAAAATCTACTCCCACGTTTTACTGTTGCTGTTACTACTAACTGTTCCTATTCCTGTTAAAAAACAATAATAATTTAGGGGCAAATATTAGCCACACAGGGCAATTTGAGGGATCAAGTCCTAGGACAATGACTGATATAAAGTTGGAAAAAATTCTAAAAGCAAATGATTTGTGAATGTATTTTAAAATTAGCACTTGTTATCAGAAAAAGAAATTGAGTTAAGCACCTCTGTGAATAAAACAATATCCAAACCTCCTGAATTATGTATACCTAATTATGAATACACAGTGAATGAAAACAACAAAGCAGGTAGACATGGGTGGAGTTACTGCAGTCTGAAGCTACAAGTTTCAGAAGATGGAACTTTACCTGTCAGCAATGTCACCAAAAATCACTGCTCCAATCAAGACTCCAAGCATGAATGTAGGCTGGATTAATTTTGCAAGCCATTCTCGGTCACAGACCAGATCCCACTGAGTAACAACAGTGCTCTTCCACTTTGTATCATCATAGAGAAATCCATCAGAACAAGAATATATGGACTTATTGCCTTTGTATTCATATGCCAGATCCAAACTGACTTCTCGTTTGGACCTGCTGCATTGGTTAAGTTCCCAAATTTCTCCATTTTCCAGCTGGACTACAATATAATTTTCTGTTGATGTCCACAGCGTCCAGATGTCCTCTATACTTGATTTAGAGGAGTTGTAGAAAAGAACACTACTCACATTTTCAGAGATCCCACATACAAAGTTAGGAGTAACATCCATGAACACAGATGCTAAGTAATGGATGCCACATGACATAGCTTGAAAAACAGATGCAAAATAAACACATGCTTGAAATCTGTAAAGGGAAAGAAAAAAGTTTACTGAAGAAAAGTCCTCTATACATGAAAAAAAAAATCAACCATTATTTTGCTAGGATCAGTAAATTGAGACATCATTAAAGTGGTTTGTTATATAGTGTTGTTTCAATATCAGCTAAGCTCTGCAGAAGACCAAAGATGAGAAAAGACCCATAGCAGAAGTAATATGTTTTCAGGAAATCAATACTCTTCTTCATCCTGTGTTTAGCCGTACACTGAGAAGACCACTTAAAAAGAAAAAATTCTGAACTTTAGCACTTAGTTTGAAGCAACCTTCCACCCTCAATTCTTTGTAGTACCTCCCCTCAAAATAAGGCCTTAGATTACTGGAATGGTTAGAAAAACCAAAATGCTGCAACGTCAGGTTCTGAGGGATAGAGATATGCACAACAAATAAAACAAACCAACTGCATTACACCCTTCATTTCACCTAATTCTATCTATAGAACTGTATTCTATCTATCTTCCATCTCTCTTTATTGTCTCCAAAAGACAAAGAGAGAATACATGTAGACATACCTAGAGAAAGATAGAATCTGAACAGCGTGAAATGTTTTATACCAAAGCATAGCTGTAAACTGGGTTGGGTTTTGGCTTAAACAGGGTGTGCAGTTATCCGTTAAAGATTGTATCATAAAGCAAACATGGTAAAATAATGTTTTATGCATAGCCTGAATTTTGGCATTTTAACAGGTTTTAAAACATGCTTGACATGCAAGTAAATCTTAGGATATAAATTGCACATGTATTCTGAATTTCTAAAGACTTGCAATGAACTCTAGTATCACTGGCTGCAAATTCTAGACAGCATCTGACAATCTAAGCATAAGGAGTCTTTTCCTCAATTAAACGTTAAAATTATGCACACAATTAGTACAACTTCTGTTCAGAAAAACAACATAGCTTTGGTTTCTCCTCCACTTTTAATTGCCTGAAGGCCAATGAATTGCACTAATTTGAAGAAGCATTCAGTGAGCTTCTATATATACATCCTTACTGCAGTATGCAGTTGGCCTTGATAGTATGAAAAAAAAAAAAAGCAGCTTTTTTTAAAATTATCAGAGGCTATCTCTGATGAAGTTATAAGAAATGATGCCTAAAAAACAATTGCCTTGAAATGTTCTGTGGGAAGTCAGAGCAATTCCAATCCCTGTAACAAATGTGATGTCTAGATCACTCCTCTCCAAAATGGATCTAATCTAGCCTCAAATTCCTGTAACAAAGTAACTAGCCTAGGACTTTAAAATCATCTGTCACCACAATTTCCAATTAATTTCTAAACTACCTATAACCAAAGGATTTAGATAGAATTTGCTGGATACATTGTCTTAATGTCCAATTAACCTTTACAATTGAACAGTTCTCTTGTACAACCTATCTCCATTCACCATCCTCATTCTTTCATCTTGTGATTCTTATTTCTTTCCTTGGTAAATGTAAACCCAGTTGCCTATCCCATCTTTCCATTGTTGCAGTTCAAATGCAGCACTTTTCATCCCCCTTTCTCTTGACAACAGCTCTACTGACTTTTCCATAGCAGTCTGAGGAGAGGGTTGAATTGCTAAACCCACCGTGGCAGCTCAAAAACTGGCTCCACTTCCCTCTTGAAGGCACTGCAAGGCAATCTTCACACAGGTGATTGCCTTTCCCAACAAACCTTTTGAGAGATATGGTCAAAAGAAACCAAACATAACCACAGCATCCCTTCAGCTTATCAATCCCTCTGAAGAGAACAGCTTCTTGAGGACTAAAGTAGCTAGCCATAAACCAAAGCAAGGCTAAACCTGCTCTGAAAAGCTCTTGGACTAACTTGGACCACAAAAAAATCCAAGATTTTTCTTAACTTTAACCCTTGTCCTTCTATTAATGCAGACAAATATGGTCTGCAACATTTTTTAGTTCCCCTTCTCTAGTTTCATTTTAATTGTTCCCATCAAAAGACACAAAGACATTTTAAAAATAGCAGAGCAAGACCAAATTCAGTAACTTCGGCTGTTGTTGCAGTATGCAGAATGACTGAAATCAGGACTAGAAGACCTCAAGCAAATTAGCAAATCTAATGCCTAGGAGCTTTGCAGTTACATCTTCTACTAGCTAAGAAAATGCCACATATTTGGAAGCAGGATCCCAGTATTTGCAATATTTGTCATTATCACAGAATCACAGACTCACAGAACATTAGAGATTGGAAGGGACC